GACAGAGGTGTATATTGCAATCAGACACTGGGGCAGAAACCTAACTTCCTCAATTTGCATACAGGAGACACAATGAATGACTGAGTTAACAGCAGCCTACAGAAATAACAGTCAAAAAAGGTGTTGAGGCTGTGTGGACAGAGAAACCTGCTATGGGCCAGCTCCGGCTAATGGCAGGCAACAGGCTTTCTTTTATCTTCTCTAATGTGCCGAGCGCCACCGACACACAGAGCATTTAACAGTTTAATCACACCAAAAGCTGCTATTTCTGCCTGCATTTCACTGTGGGTGTGGAAAACCCTTTGACTGTATGTATCCCAGGGTTTTCTTGTCTCCAAGCAACAGGAAAATGTTGTGATGATGAATCAAGCATCACATTCATACAGTACAGTATACGCCACCTGCTCTTGAGTAAGAAATTAAGAGGACATTTTGATTTATTTTCATTGTAACAATCGAGCGTTTTAGACTGGCTAATACTACAATAATAATAATACAAGCAAAAGAAAAAGCAGCATATGGATATCACAAAACCTCTGAGAGGATCCACCAACTCTTAGCTATACAATGTGCTCATTGTCGTAAACTTTGTGGCCACAAACAGCTAGTTAAACCTCTATATTTGGACCAAAGACTGCATTCACACAGAGAGCATCTTATGTCACTTTCAATATGCCGATTGTGTGCAACTCCTTTTTGATACACGTACTAAATGTATAAACACTAAATCTTCATGCACAAAACTATCTCAATCAACACTTTCCTGATATCTTGTCTCAAATCTATTTCACCATCTATGTGGCTTCAATTCTATAATAATAGTGTAAGAAAAATGTATATTCTGTTACTAAAAGGTGGGAACGTGCTATCACAATATATCTAATTCTGTATTGCGATATCACACCTTACCGGCGTCCAGTGTGTAACATTTAGGAGGATCTTTTGGCAGAAATTAACTTAGAAGGCTGAGCTGTATTCAAATGGTTGCAATCTGCAACTTCAACTCTGGATGCCACTAAATCCTACACACTGGTCCTTTAATGGGGTCTGTGTACGACCATTTCAGTAAATGGGCGGAGGTGAGAAAGTAAGGTGAAAGTAGCTTCTTGATAACCATTTCTGTCACTTTAGGGAGAACAACAGAGTGCAAAATTACATCTTAATCCAACCAAAAGTTGGTTAAATATTTTAGAATGCATCATCGCATTGCTCAAACATAGTAACTCATGTGCCTGCCAGGACACACAAAAAGGAAAATGAACACTCAAGCTGATGTTTTACACTTGCTATGACACTGCTCAGTACAGATGTTTCCATTCTCCACAGAGGCCACTATGTGCCACTGGTGGGAAGAGAAAAAGGTAACTACATGACGAGGAGCACCAGGCACTCTGCTCTCCCACAGTGTCTGGCTTTGTGTAGATTCAAAGCACTGGGTGTACATTGTACATATTTCAGTTTTATCATAACTCTCTTTTTGAGAGACGGAAGCTTGCACTAAAAGCATCTTTTCAGCACGACTAAGCTGTCTGAAAAAGGAAAGCAATCTGAAAAAAGATCCATTTAGTTTGTTCCAGAAATATGCCAATCAAGCAATCGCCAGTGAAAAAGATCATTATGGTGGGGGGTGAAACAAAAAGCCTCACTGGCCTTTCTGTAACAGTTTCAGAGAATGTGTGTTGTGTGTGTGTGTGTGTGTGTGTGTGTGTGTGTGTGTGTGTGTGTGTGTGTGTGTGTGTGTAGTTGGTGTTTCAAGCAGTTTTCAGACATTTGAGAGAAGCACTCAGACAAGGCTCTTTATATATCTGAGCTGGATGCCTGTCATTACTCAGGACGAAGAATCCACTAGCAACTGTTCTTTAGTGTGTGTGTGTGTGTGTGTGTGTGTGTGTGTGTTTTACAGATCCTAAATACTATGACTGGTAGGAATGCATTAGGTGTCATTTTAGCACTGCCACATGTATGGTCTTGCACACCAGATAGCAATTGACATACACAGTCATTTACAACATCAGCTGACACACTAACATACAGTGTTTAACAAAATGAAGACAACATGTGCACATTACTGACCTCACTGCTCAAAACACATGCCTTAAGGACAAGAAAATTAGGTCTTGTGGCAACATTACTTGTTTTTTCTCTTCAACTTGTGCTATTGTGTTTCTCAGTACGAATCTCATACTACACTGCAGGCAAAAAAGGCATTTTAATATCTCTTCTTATCTTTTACAGCCCACATATAAACCTATCCTTGATTTGAGAATCAAGGTTAAGTGTGAGTGCAACCCACAGTATGGCACATGAATGTAATCCAACAAGCAGCACTTATTTAGTGATGAAATGTAATTTACCAACTAGAAAGCATGATAGGGCTGCAAGTTGTGCACCTCATCTTTTTTGGAGGTATTTTAATGAATCACAGTGCTAGTGTTTGTTTCCTCTTTGAAGTCAGGTGGACGGGCCTTGACCTGCTATAGAGGATTATAATTCATCATCATCCCCTGACTCATTGTATTAAATTATATTACATTACATTAGATTCAGTCTTTATCCATTTTCCACTATGTAATTATATCACACAATGCGGTTTCAAGCTGGCAGATGCTAACTGAGCTAGAGGAACACAGCAAAAGAGGATCTACGATGAACATTTAAGTAGCTGTAATTTATATTCCTATACTTCCTAACCGAGATATTAGACTTAAATGTGTCAGATGGACAGAAACACGACTCCAAATAAAAGCTAATGTTACTCCGTAACGGCTAGATGTGTAAAAAGGAAACTGTTAACAAGTTCACCATATCAAGATGGCGGTATGTCAAGGTTGTGTTCACAAATGGCCACAAAATCAGCTATTTCAGTTATTTTCCCAAGCTGTCCAATTAAATGATTAATCATCAGATAGATTAGAGCCAAGACACATGTCCAAATTTCATCTTAGAGACAAGAAAAACAGAAAAAATGAAACGATCATGACGCGAAAAAAAAAAAAAAAAACACGCTCTGTAATGTACTGTAGCTTCACCATCAGAGGGACTATCGGCATGGGAAAGGTATTATCTGTTGCCGACTACCAAGGCCAGACCAGACACTGTGTTGTGCTAGCATACGAGTACAGTGGCTGAGGGTTTATCTGGCTGTCGCATGTCATATGGGACAGAGTGGTGGAAGATTGCTCGCTGAAACAACACACCCCTCCCTGTACAGTTTCCCTAGCCTCACACTCCAGCCTGTACTATCATGTGTGCATCTGTGTAGCGTTCTGGATAAATATTTGCCCCAAACATAGCTACACATGTTGACATGATCTTTAGTGACCTCTGTGGTGTGAATGAAAGTTCAAGAATGGTCATTTTTCAACAACAAAAAAAAAAGTCTCTTGAAACCCTGATAAAGTGATCACATATGGGGAGGAAGGAAGGAAAGGGTGAAATGGAGAGAGAATGGACTTGAAATGAGGAACACATTTTCAGCTGCACTGCAGTCAAGGGTGTGGGCGTGGGGAGTGGGAGTAAAACAAACACTCTGTATCTAGAATGAGTGTGTACGTATGTGTGTGTAGTAGTGTAGTGTGTGCGGAGGGTGGCAACATGGAGCCAGACTGACAGAGCTAAGCTCCCTCCTTTGGGAATTTCACTCATTCTAACAGAATGACCAAATCCAGGGAGTTACCATCCCTTAACACACACTCACTCACTCGCAGACAGTCTATCTTGGCAGTTTGACTTTGCTAATCCTCATACAGTATGAGGGGGGAAGGGACCTCACAGTGGACTCTAGAAACAAGCCAAACAAAGCAACAACTTAGTGGTAATGTTCTCAAGTTTGGGCCTAAAAAATAAAATCTGTTGTTTACGTTGTATCACCTTATTAGAGATGGACAATTAAGGGCTGCAACTAACAATCATTTTCATTATTTATTCATCTTTTAATTATGTCTTAAATTACTCTAATAATCTTTAAGTCTATAAAATTTAAGAAAATGGTGATCACAAAATTCAAGAGCCCAAGTTCACTTGCCAAAAGCCCAACTTTTCCTTAATAATACATTTTATGTGAATCCACAATATCATGCTTTATTGTATTTTGGCACTAGATAGATAGATAGATAGATAGATAGATAGATAGATAGATAGATAGATATACTTTATTGATCCCAAGCTGGGAAATTGCAGTGTGTCACCATGCATTAAAGCTGTATACTGTATATTTTAGAGTTTAGAATATGGTTCAAGTTTTACATCCACCTCTAGTTATATGTTTTGTTTCCATCTCAGGTTTTGTTGTGATATGACTTGGCTTCTGCAACATCATTTCCCAATGGGATTAATAAAGTACCATCTAATGCACTGTATCATGCTAGTAATACTGTGAGAAGACAGGGTGGAAAGTGATGTGCAAACCAATTTAAAAAAAAAAAAAATCAATATGCACAGTTATTATTATGCAGGGCAGTGCTATCTGACCAACAGGAAACTGCTCCATCACCACACAAATACAGCCCAATATCCTCTGCTTCAAAACACACCCATGCTACAAACAGACTGCAGAAACACTACATGAGGAAACATTATCAACCTGAGCAACACAAGAGTCCATTAAATGGCAACAGTAACTGTGCGCATGTGAATTACAAAATAATACAACCACAGGCCCTTTGCTCGAGCAGCAAGCTAACGATACTAAAGGCAAAAAGACACCGGGCATGTGGTCGTCTGAATGTTTTTTTTTTTTTTGTTCAACAGAGGAAACCGTCCGAGCTGAGGGTTCATTTAAGTCGCACTAAAAACGCAGAAATAGTAGTTTTACGGTGTGGGGGGAAAACGTGCACCGCCACCTCTCTGCAGACTCCACCGAGCAACATCTTAGCAAAACAGTGAGAGCTGGCCACACTGAAACACACCGAGAATGTGGAACAAACATTACAAAAACACATGGGCCACCGGACGAACACTGCCGCTGAAATGCAATACATATCGATTATGTCAGAGCTTACCCTCTCTTTGATGAAGTGATGAAATATAAACAGTGTTCGGTGGAAGCGGGACGGCGGCTTTTGACTATTTTTATCCCCGACCCTGGTGATTTCAGAGTGGGTTTATCTCTCTGCGCCTTGTCGTCCCTGCGTCGCTCCGCCCATCCACCATCATCCCACTTGGGTGCGGCAAATTGGTTAATCTGCGGCTCGCTATTGGGCAGCAAGAGGCACGTGACAGCGCCTGGGAACCTGATTGGAGGACGAGTTGTTTGCCCGCCCTGCCGAAAGGGGGGGGCTTTGGGTATAATTCATGCCTGGTTACTATGACTTTACTGCTCAGGCTAAATCCGTGAAGTTGATAAGAGTAGAGCTTTGTGCAGTGGTGGAGCAAGTATTCAGGTCCTTTACCTCAGTATAAGTATCAGTATACACTGTAAAAGGACTCTGTTACAAGTCCTGCATTGAAAATGTTACTTAAATAAAAGTATGTAAGTATTATCAGGAAAATATATACATAAAGTAAAAGTACTGCTCAATGCAGAAAAATGTCCCATGTGTCTGTTATATTATTATATATTATATAATTAGATTATTATGTTTGCATTAATGTTGAAGCTGGATTTTACTGTTGGTTGAAGTGGAGATCACTTTGAACTATTTTGTATAGAATTGCAACTATGTATTGCAACTAAGTATTATTTTCTTGGTGGATTTATCTGCTGATTATTTTCTCCATTAATCGACTGATTGTTTGGTTTGAAAAAATCTGAAAATAGTGAGAAAAACTGTCACAATTACTCAGAGCCCAATGTGACACACTCACAATGCTTGTTTCTTTCAACCAATAGTCCAAACTATTATTAAATTATTAAAAGAATAAATGGATAAATTCATCAGTATTTTATATTCAAGCTGATGCACATAATCTAACCCAGGTGGTGTGATACTGCGGTTTAGTAAAGAGGGGATGATATCAGCATTTTATTCTTCTTCAATCTGCTGGTTCCTGTGCTGCAGCAGATAGTTACACAAAATAGTTTTTACCTATTGCATCTCACAATAATATGAAATGAGTAATTGACAATTTGGCATGGCGTTCAAATACAAAATTAAATCACAGTATCTCTTTGACCAGTGTGAATGTACACAACACAACTCAAGGTAAAAGATCTGCTAAATTACACAACAAAACACAACAAGTTTTATCTGTTGTGTTGTTTTTAAAGTTTAAATTATGAGCACTTGTTTCCATGTGCATTACATGCACATATTTGAACTGAACTGCCTAAGACATTTTTAATGTATAAGTGTCCTGTATTGATGCAGGTGATATGCTGTATAAAGACACCACTGTGCTCTGCTACTCTTGACTTGGACCTAACTGATCATAATACTTTTATTATATTAATGCACTGATACTAATACTAATGTTGACAAAGTGACACTGTTTTGAAAGTGTGTACCTGCAGTCATGTTGTGATTTCACTCCATAACTTAAAACATGTATTTTTGTCTATTCATTGAAAAGAAACTGAGACATTTAAAGAGACAATTAAAACCATATCAATATTAACAACTTATTTTTAATATTTTATTATTGTTTAAATGATAATGCTCACTTTGAATTTATTTCAGCCAAATCATCTGAGCAGCCAAAGAGCATAGGGTTTCTCTTTCTCCCTGTGCAAACATGTCTGATTAATATTCTTATTTGTAGCTACATCATGGGTAACTAAACCTATAAACTCTCAATGAACTAAACACACCTTCACCTTATTGTAACTTGCAGCCAAAGTCCATTTACAGATGTAGTGCTGTATAACACAGTTCATGTTCACTTTATGGTTCAAGTCAGGCAGGCTATTTTAAAACCATTCTGATGGCACTGGAGGTCAAGTACACCACACTGATATTCTCCCCACTGCGGATTTGCAAACATTGTAAAAATGAAGCTGTAACTGCCCGCCAGGGGGCACAGTCAATTGGTTTCCTGGAGATGTGAGGCGGGACTTCCGGTGAAAAAAAACAAAAACACCATGCACCCTCTGGCACAATCTTACAAATATAATTCCACCATCATCTCTAAAAAAAACAACCGATTTAAAACATACAACAGAAGCACAAACACTTTTTATTATAACTGACGCAGAAAAGGCGCCAACAGGGACACCTATGGTCTGTGCACGCGCAAGATGCAGCCGTGTGCGCGCGGACAGCAATGGTTAATTAATTATAGGGATGACATTTTAGGTATTTGGCCACTAGATGGTGCTGCTTTGCCACACTGGTGTTAGTCAACCTGCAATGATGAAATAACCAACGTGACCACATTTTATACACAACACTGTTGTTGGTTTAGGGAAATTTGTTGGTTGATAATTAAGCTTAAGTACAAGAAATATGTAATGCATCCAGTTGTATTTATCTAACAATGAAAGTGCGCAGGCCAGGCAAAGGTTACAACATAAACACCAGCAGTGATTGAGGAAGTACTCAAAATCTTCTACTTTAAAGTTAAAGTAGTAATATCACAGTGCAGAAATACTACAAATAAAAAGTCCTGAATTCAAACAATTTAAGTTAAAGTACAGTAGTACTGGAATCAAAATAGACTTACCGTAGATAGGCGTACCAAAAATAAAAGTAAGCTACTCATTATGCAGAATGGCCAATTTGATGCATTAATAGGTATATCACTTTAATGTTGCAACTGGTACAGATGGGGCTAACTTTAACTGCTTTACTGCAGGGTAGCTTGATTTACAATTCATCATCATTAGTTGAGTTGAATATTAGTTATATTTTGCATTATACATATTATATATTATATTAGTATCTGCCTGTTTATAGCCGTAAGACCGTATACCTTCATAAGTATACATTAAAAATATTATTATCCATAAAAGTGGCAGTGTCCTAAATCTGAAGCCTTGCATCAAACCCCTGAGTTATATACTTTTGGCATGAGTGGCCCTGACCTCTGAGTCTTGTGGTGTCAATCCTGTCCCGTACCAGTCGACACACACACACACACACACACACACACACACACACACACACACACACACACACACACTCCTCTTGACTGATCTCAGACCAGTGCTGGCCCTTCCAGTGTTGTGAATGATTGTGGTCTGCCTTGTAGCATGGATACACCAGCTAGGGACTCTAAATATATCCAACTGGTGTGTCTGAAGAGCTCAGGCATGAAGATCATATACTTACACAGGAAATCTACACCTATCTCTATTACTTTCTCATCTATTGTGTGTCTGTGTGTGTTTCATTTACATGTTAGGCGTTTATCAGATATTTTTATCTAGAGCAGACGTCACTGTGTGGTGTCTTGTTGTTCTTCTTTTAAGAACAACACAAATTAAGCATTTAATTCTTATGCAGAGTGACAGCAAATGAACCACCGACAAGTAGACAGACCAGAAAGACCTACAGAGACATTTTGACATACAGAAATCAGATAAGTAACTCAAATATATCTTTAAAAATGCAGATCTGCCTAAGTGGCAACAAATCATTTGAGCTCCAGTATTACGTTTGGGTTTCAGCACACATTCCTCAGTCACCTGTTTTCTCTTAGCAGCACATGTCACGGAGTGAGTGAAGATAAACCCAGCTGCTTTTCGTATTCATTTCAGGCAGCACTTACTGTCCCCTTTTAACTCCAGCCAGCCTTCAACTTTAAGCTCTCAAATCTCCAGGGGCTGATATGAAAATAAACAATTTGTAGTATTACTGATGATGCCTGGAAGTATTGGCATATTTAAGGATACGGCCTATTTCTACCTTCTTGAAGTTAAGAGGACGTTATGGGCTTATTGCAGCTCAACATGTGCAGGTTAATTTCTCAACATTTGTCATTCAGTGAACCCACAAAGCAGCCACAGAGGTAGACTGCGACGCTGTTCTATCGTCCACCAGCAGCAATCTGTCTTTTACTCAAAGATGGTATTGTATTCAGCCCGCAGTGCCATGGAAAGCCCCTCTCCCTCCTCCTCTGCCCTGCACAATGAGACAAGGGTCAGCCTGTCTTTCCTCCACTGTGTTTTTGATTCACTTCTCCTTTATGAAAATGTTGTATAAACTCTGACCTCCAACAGTGACCTTTTAAACCCACTGGCCCTACCTACAGAGTCCCCTCAGCCAAAGGTTTAAGGTAACTGATTTTTCACCAGGGTTGGAGCTAGCTGCCACGGAGGACATAGAGGTCATGTCCTTGTCATATATATATATATATATATATATTTAAATATACGTTGTGGAGTCCTTAGTATTTCTAAAATCCTGGCTACAGCCCTGTGACATACAAAGAAAGGTCATTAAAAAAAAGAAAAGAAAAATGAAGCACCATATTGGCAGAGTGGTGGAGGAAGTATTCCAGTACTTAAATAAAAGTAGCAACACCACAATGTAAAAAGCTCCAAGAGAAAGCCCTGTATTCAAAATGTAGGAGTAGTTAAAGTAGCTACAAAAGTAGAGCCATGCAGAATGCCCCATTTCAAGTTAATATTGTACTGTATTTTAATAATTGATGCATTAGTGTTTGAGCACTGCATAATGTTGCAGCTGGAGGAAGTTTTAACCACTTTATATACTGTCTTATTCTTTTGTTGATTATGTCGTTGTATGTGAGTAACTTGTACATTCACCTCAGTAGTGGAGTAGAAGTATCAAAGTAGTTTTAAATGGTTTACTTAAGTAAAGTAAAAGTACCACACAACTGGATACAGTTCTTGAGTAGCTTCAGTTACTTTCCACCACTGGCTAAGTAAAAAGGGAAAAGTCCAGCTGCCTGTGGACTTTTCTGAAGGATACCTTGGTCTCTCCAGTGGTGGAAAGTAACTAAGTTCATTTACTTAAGTACTGTACTTAAGTACAATTTTGAGGTAGGCTACTTTCCAGTATTTTCATATTCTGCTACTATATAGGCCTAATACTTACTACTCCACTACATGTATGTGATAACTTTATACTTTTTTGGTGAATAATAAAAAATATGATCAACAAATAAATGATGAGGCATTGATTAATATAAGACTGTATCCACACGCTACCCAGCAGTGTATAAAATAATTTAAACGATCTCCACCTTTACCAGCAGTACAATTAAAGTGATTACACATAATACATCATGAATCAATAA